GAGAAGAGAAGAGAAGAGAAGAGAAGAGAAGAGAAGAGAAGAGAAGAGAAGAGAAGAGATATTTGTTCAAACCCACGCACCGGAAGTATTTTCACAGCAGTTCCAAGGTTCGCAGGGATTGCTGGTAATTTGTAGAAGATGTAAACATGGCGGACGGGACAGAAGAAAGTGTGTTAACCTTGTACAATCTAGCAGTTTTTAAAGCAGTTAGGCACCAAAATGTCTTCCGTACTGAATTCAGATACCTCCCTGATGCCATACAATGTGATATTTACCGCCAGGTTAGAGTCTTTTCGTATTTTATTATCAAAAGTATCCTTTTTGTGTCGGGTTTTCGTGCTATTCTATCTCGATCGTCGCCTTCATCGCGTCATACCCTTTTCCTTGATTTTATTTTGTTGTTTTTCTCTGCCTAGCTTTTCCATGCTGGTGAATACGACAGTCTAGCTGATGAACTACTCGACTTAGAAGCGTTTGCAAAAGCTTTAAGAGCTGGAGATCGAAGGTGAAGGAAAGAAAACGTTACTTACTACAAAACATTCAACTTTCGCCATTATTTTGACACCCTAATGTTTCTCCTACTTTACGAGTTATTTTGTTTGCTTTTATAAATATTATCAAACGGCGTTGACCTAGAATGTCGAGTTTTTATCGTAGAAAATTCATAATGTATCCATTAAAAAATTAACATATGGTGATAATAACTGATAATTTTAAAGTCATTTTCCGTATAATTTTGAATTCGTTCCAAAGCGACTTGTTCTTACTTCTTTAAATATTTCATTTTTAGCTTGATTATATTAGGCCATGTACCTGCTGCAATGACTCTTAATTTGATTCTTAATTATGAACTTTATAAATACGTAGTATGCAGAATAGTTTGAACATTAAACACGAGAAAACTTTCACAAAATTGTCAGTTCTTTAGCTTATAAGAAATAGATTGTTAGCTGAGTTTTCCCTACAGAAATATTTTTAGCTAATGAGAATCCTCTTGTTCTTCTAGGCTTGGCTTGGCTGTATCGCCTTTCATTGTCTTACAATTTTCTTTTTTGATGGGACAGAGTGTTGAAATCTTTTTTTAGTGTGATATATTTGTTCAAAGATGAATTATAAATTTATATTTTATAGAATAATTTCAATATGGAAATAATTGTAATCACTTTTTGGCATAGAAAATTAGAAAGAAATGTTATTTGGTGTACGATGTATAAAATCTCTGCTTGTGATTATCATCATCGTCGCCATGATCATTACCAACATCATCATCACCATCATCATCATCACTATCAATATCACCATCATCATCATCATCATCATCTACCACCATAATCATTACCATCATCATCATCATCATCTTCATCACTATCAATATCACCATCATCATCATCTACCAGCATAATCATTATCATCACCATCATCATCAATTCCATTATTATTCATGCACACCATATCTCAGGCAGTCGAAACTGCATTTAAATGGTGAAGATAACTCACCAATGCTTGCACAACATCAAATTCTTGGTGAGCCTTTTACGTCATAGCCACCATGTTGGTTGATGATAACATACTACTAAGACTACTAATAATGATAGTGCATTTATATAGGGCATATCCAAATGAATGCTCTATGCACTATAATAATAACAATAATAATCAAAAACTAATGATAACTAAAAATCGAAATAGTTTTTAAACAGATGAGTTTTAAGTTGCAACTTGAATTCAAGGACAGTTTGACAGGATCTTAAAGATAGAGGTAGTTGATTTGGCCAAATTGTCAGTCGCCACTTTTATCTTGAATGGGCTACCTGTGGTCCACATATACAATACCCTTATGACATATTTCCATTTGTATTTTTAGGGTTAAACTTTACTATCCATTTCAAGAACTAATAGATAAAGGCTACAACCTCCCAAAGGAAATATCCCAAGAATTCTGTCAACGAATTAAAATATCTCTTCATGAGAAGGAAAATGTTGCCAAACATTATGGGACTCTTCTTAGTATTGGCTGGCTCATTGGTAAGCAATGAAAATGGATAGGAATTCAGAGGCAGATCTAGGGGAGGGATGCAGGGGGTGCGCACCCCTCCCTGGTTCGACTTTGTGCCCCTTCTTCGAATATAACCAATACAAAATAATGTTTTTTCCCTTTGATTCTAAGGGGTTCACCCTCCCTGGGTTAACAATGTGCGCAGCACCCCTCCCTGAGCAAATTCCTGGATCCGCCCCTGGAATTTATGAATACTGTATAAAGAAAGGACTTGAGACATTGGAACCTTCAAATGTTATTGATACCATGAAACAACCTTGTGGTAGATCAATGTCAGGGACTAACTTATATATCAAGATTTGATTCCTGGACTGTAGCTCAGCATCACATATGACTAAGACTAGAGTTTGTTAGGTCTCTCAAAGGGTTTCTCTCCATCCTATGCTGAGCTATAGTCCAGGAATCAAACATGAAACCTCAGTGGTGAGAGCCAAGTGTACTACCTCTCCCCCTTCCCCTATGGAGGAATTGGAATTATTTTACACACCCCCCCCCCCCCTTGTATTCCCAGAAATTCCAAATTTGAACTACACAACTACTTAACAATTTGTATTCTTTGGGAGTACCTGATTAAACTACTCATGTTTTTGTATGTATGCTGTAGGTGGATTTTTAACAGAGACTGGATGGCATCTGGCTGCAGAGGATATCTTTGAAGCTTGTCTTTCACTTTGTGATATCAGAAAGACTGATGATTGTGCTATAGCATTAAGATGTTTTACACGGTAAGTGGTCTACCATCGAACCTGAAACCAAAGAGGTGAGAGATGAGTTTACTACTACTGCAGGGGCGAATCTAGGAGGGGGGGGGGGGGCGTAACTATTACAAAGATTTTACCAGAAATTCAAGGAAAGGGAAGGGGGTGACTGTTACTATTGATATACTGAGCAAAAAGAGGGTGACTATTCACCCCTGGATCTGTCCCTGCACTGTGCCTCCCTTGATTACCTTTTGGCAAGGTTAAGTTACACCAACAGGAGAGCTATGGATATATTTCAATGAGAGATATATGAATATTTCGTGAAATTACAAGATATGCCATCATATCTTCCTCACCCATTTTCTCTCATTATGAAGAGAGAGGGGGGTGACTATGGATATTTTTGGTGATGCATGGACAGACCCTCCCCACCCTGGGAAATTTCAGTTCCCAAGTTAGGTAAAAATAGGTACATGTAGGAATAGAGGTAATGATAGAAACCTTTAGATATGACGACGAGTACGAGAACGAGTACGAGTGTTTAACTTTTAAAGAGAGGCACTATCTTTTCGTAGTCTTGATCGTGTACGTAGATTGAAACTTTAGATAGTAAAAAATCAGAAATCGACTACGATTTAGTGTTAACCAGGACCAATTTTAAAACTCGTACTTGTACTYGATCTCGTACTCGTCGTCATACCTAAAGGTCGCTGATATTTTATGTAACCAAACATAAAGTATGAAATATTTACTGATTGTTCTAATGGTGTACATTTCTTGATGACAGATTGGTGTATGTTCGCACAGCATATTGCAAGTTTACAGAAGCAAAGCATTCGTTTGATGATGCCATGGAGTTGGTACAGAAGTTGAGAAACAGAGGGCAGAAGGTCAATACTGCGGTATTATACGGTGAAAAATGTGCATTGCTCTTTGCACTTAGTGAATATGAACAGGTATCTAAGCAAGGACTGTGTTGATTATTAAACAACAGGGGAGCTTCTGCAGCTTGCTGATTTGTAGTCCTTAGCATGGGCATAATGTTTTACCATCTCATACTATGTCATACTCTTGAAAACAGGATTCTTGTTTGAGTTGTATTAATGTCTCTTAATTTCTCATGTGCAACCATTAAATAAAGAAACGATACTCTCAGGAATGACAGGTGGTCTGACATGGGAAAACATTTCATACAAGCTAAAAAAGTCTATTAAGGCTGGTCTAGACGGTACAATTTTTGCCTACAACTATCGTATTCAACATGCTTGCGCCATCGTACAACTCAAGTCGTAGCGTGTAAATCAAGCCTACAACTCGCCTACGACAGATGTGAGCGTGTTGTATACAATAGTTGTAGGCGAAAATCATACCATCTAAACTGGCCTTTAGAGTCTAGAATTTTTTCGCTAATCTAATTAAATAATAATTTGATGATATGACAGAGTGCTAGGATAAGTATAAAGTGTTGGTGTCTTTTTATCATGCAGGCTTATCAAAATAGCATCAGAGCTTTAGAAGAAATAACCCAAGGACTTCCTGAAAAGGTATGGCTATAGCTACAGTAGAAGGAAGCAACAGAAATATAAAAGCAAGTTGTAATAATATTCTGAGCCCTACACTAATATGTCAGATGTCTCCTGTTATTTCTAATTTCAAGCCTTTATCCTGTGGACTTGCACCATCTCAAACCTGTCATTTCAAACCTTTTCCCAGTTCTACTGGGAAGGTACAAGATAATCAGACTTTTCTTTTTCTACTTCTCTAGGCTGTGATAGATATTGTCAGACAGGCGTCCAAGGTACAGTAAAGCATTTCGTTTTCCTGTTGCTTGTTACGGAGTAATAATAATTTTTTTTGTCTCAGGCATGTGTGGTTAAGAGAAAATTCAAGAAAGCAGAAACCTTAATAAAGCAAGCAATGGAATTGGCCAGGTTAGACATTCTCAATAGCATGCACAAAATGATCCATCTGTCATACAGCCTGCAACTTGATTCATGGGCTTGAATCTAAGCTGTGATGGTGAGATCCATTCGTTGTCCAATCTATCACACATAGTTTGTTGTTTTGGTTGTGTGACCATGAAAATGAGTGTCATTGATCCCAGGCATTTATTATCTTCTGTTTTTGTTATCTTTGTTTAAGACTCTACTTCGGAGAAGAGCATCCCAAGTTTGCGGACACTTTAGTAGACTATGGCTTTTATTTATTGAACGTAGATTCTATCCATATGTCAGTACAGGTTTACAAGGTAAGTATTGGAGGCTGAGGTAGTCATTGGGTGCACCTCCTCCATTGAGAATAGAAGACCTAGCACCCATGTTGGTTGACTTGACAAAAGAGACGACAACAGTAGTGCATGTAGGCATATATGGATTATCAGTTATTGAACATTAGTTGATGTTTCAGGGGGCCTGTATTAGAATAAATCATAATTTTTTTGTTTTAATCAATATTTTGACAACTGTTATCTATTAAAGTTTTGTAATTTCTGTGGCACATAAAGATTTGGAAAAAAATATTTTWAATCGTTTTTGCATGAAGATATACCCAATAATTTGCAGGATTCCTGTTTTCTCCTACCTCTCTTTCCATCCCTCTATTAGTCCTTTCCCTCATGTTTTAAACCAGGTTTCTTAGCTTTATCCATTTTGTCTTTTTCTTCTTTAGACAGCACTACAGATAAGACAGAAGGTGTTTGGTAAGAACAATGTACATGTTGCCACAGCACATGAGGACTTGGCTTATGCTCTCTATGTGCATGAGTACAGCACTGGCAAGTTTGATGAAGCCAAGTAAGAATTATTCATATAGTATTTTACATAATACAATTGATTTGGTTACCAGATATCTTTGAACTAGACAACTGGGATATCAAACAGGAACTTGCAGTTATATATATGCTACAGTGACTTACCTGTTTCCAAAAATTAGGATTAAAGTTGGTATTGGGACTTACCCTTCTTTGCTCTTGACGTTTTAAAAACGTGTAGCAACTGTATTACCACATCACATGCTGCAGTTGATTGAAAAAATATCAGTTTTATACCATAACAGTGCTGTGCCATTCATATAGAGGAATGTATTCTTATTTCATAAAAAGTTAATTAACTAACAAACTTGTTTATGATATGTTTTGCAGGTATCAAGCTGAATGTTCAATAAGCATTGTTACAGGACTCTTCCCCCAAGACCATCTTCTRTTAGCCTCTTCCAAGCGTGTTAAAGGTAGCTTGGATTGCTATGGCAGTACTACATCACAGTTACCATATACACCCCTGTTATAACCATGCTCGTAATCTCCTGACCCTTATATCAGAATTAATGGCTTCCATTAGTCATTCTCCATTGAAAAAAGGGAGAYTCATGAGCATTTCCCACAAGAATGTGCTTCTAAGATTAAAAGGGCATTAATTTTTGTACATGCTCTATTTCTCCCAGCACTAATTTTGGAAGAGATTGCTATTGATTGCTACGACAAAGAAAAAGAGAGCAAAATCCTACAGGAGGCACAGGATCTGCACTTGTCCTCTCTAGACTTAGCAAGGTACATTATTAGCAGCTATTAATTATAATGATATTGATGGTGGTGGTGGTGATGATGAAGATGGTAGTGGTAATACATGGTGATGATAATGATTGATGATGATGATGGTGATGATGTTAATGTTGATGATGATGATAGATGATGGTGATGATGATGATGATGTTGATGATGATGGTGGTGTTGTTGGTGGTGGTGATGATGATGATGATGATGTTAATGTTGATGATGATGGTGGTGGTGGTGGTAGTGATGCAGATGATGGTGATGGTGATGATAATGATTGATGATGATGATGATGATGGTGGTGATGGTGGTGGTGATAGTGATTATAATACATCTAAATAATGAATCAGCGTAGAGCTATTCCAATTATTCCGAGCAGTCTTTAAATTTTCTGGAGGTAAAACGGAATAGAAACGATCTTTTATTTTGATCTTTATTTTTATGTTGTTGAATATCATAGGAAAGCGTTCGGAGAAAGCAATGTGCAAACTGCAAAGCATTATGGGAACCTGGGCAGGCTTTACCAATCAATGCGGAGATACAAGGTACAGTGAAAAAGATGCGAGGTCTTTGTAGTTCTGGTCTTGAAATAAATGTGTGAAGATCGCTGGCGAAAAAAAACTATTGTACATGTTTGGAGAAACACGACGAATCACCAATCCTTCAGTTTTGACGCACAGGCTTATTTGAGTAAAACCCTATAAAATATTTCTCCTCAGACGGGGGTGTAGTTAGCCGTGATAGATCAGTATGACAACACCTATAAAGTTACATTTTCTCAAAAGGATGGGGTGCAGTTAGCCGTGATAGATCAGTA